GCTTGCATTTCTCCAGGGAAATCTTCGGAAACCTGGAGAACACCGTGCATTGGGGTGGCTTGAAGACCACCGGCCTAAGTCACTCCAAGGAGCCCAGATCAACGCAGCCTCAGGTAGCAGAAACACAGCGTTCAGAGGGGAGCTAGGAAGTAAGAATATTAAAAATACTGGCTAGGCCAGGATGCAAATCAGTAAGTCCTTGGGAAGCAAATGCCTGACTTTGTTGGAAGATGAAAACTTATCAAACACCCTTGAAGAGAAAGGATGCTTCCCCCAGTGAATGTATGTTGATAAATCCTTGTGGACTATGGACAAGTGAAATAAACTGAGTGACAACCTGCTGCAGCTGCAACCAATACGGTGTCACCACCACCGTCTTCTCCCAGGTACAGAGGAGTGTCTGTAAGGACTCTGGCTACACGGGTGGAGTCTGGGACAACATGATGCCTGGAGTCCCTGCTCTAGCAATTGAGGGTTAGCCTGTTTGAACACTGCGAATGGAGGGGTAAGGCTGTGATAAGATTGTGTATCCAATGTGCTTACTCTTGGCCCTTTCACCGATGGTGGGAAAGATAAACTGAGAAGCCCTGACGGACCCCCCTCCCACTGCTGGAGAGACAGCCTGGACTGTCTGCCCAAGGAAACGTGACTCCCCACACCCACTGGGCTGAGGCCCTCCTGGCTGAGATGAGCAAGAAAATTGAAAACAATTATATTAACCATTTGGGGCTTTGAATTACTCCTGAGGGTAAAGGGGTTTGGTTTTCTTTTTTCTTTTACTTTATTTTCTCCAAGGGAACTTTAAAATGAGATAGGAGACTATATTAATTTTTTTTGGACATCTTTATATTTCTCATCTGGCCATTATGTTTGGATTATCTTTGTGTTGTCGTTTAATCACATGGCAGCCTCTAACTGCTGATTGATTGATTGATTTTTATTGATTTCAGAGAGGAAGGGAGAGGGAGAGAGAGATAGAAACATCAATGATGAGAATCATTGATCGGCTGCCTCCTGCACGCCCCCTACCAGGGATGGAACCCGCAACCCCGGCATGTGCCCTGACCAGGAATCGAACTGTGACCTCCTGGTTCATTTGTCAATGCTCAACCACTGAACCACACCGGCCAAGCTAAGTACCTATTTTAGACAACAGAGCTGAGCTAAATCGAAGACTGGGGAATAAAACAGAAAAGCAATTTTAAGCTTTAGCTAGAAAGCCTCTTTAGCGTTAATTTAATGAAGGTAATATTGTTAGTCATTTCCGAGCCTGCTGGGAGCAAAGTCAAAATTGCCCACTGTGATTCCAAAGAGTCTGCAAAGGAGTAGGAGTTGTTATTTGGTGAAATGGCTTCATAAAGGTGGAAAAGGATTGCTCCGCGGGCAGCTGACCTCCTTCTCCAAGGGGCACAGCCACACTCCTGCCTCAGCATAGCCTAATGGATAAAGTCAATAAGGTAATAGGACAAAAACTGTGAAGTACTAAGGAGCAATACTTGGTTCCCACTTCTCCTGCTCCCCTGATGGGATTTCAGCATCACCATCTGTTGGCTTCACTCCCTACCCCTTCATGTCACCAGGCTGAGAGGTTAAGGATGAGTTGAGTGAGTTTGGAAGAAGGAACTGAACATGCTCAGTTTGGTGCCTGCCCCTCTTCACTTAGAAAGTGTCCCTCTGGTTTGACCTTTATTACAGGATAGGTGTTTGTCCCTCAGGTGAGGCCCAAGGTTGTCCAGCTCTGCCTGGGCCATGAAGGGGGAACTTGTGAGATAAAGTTTTTTAACAAGCTCACTTAGCCACAGAGCCAAAGTACATTCCCCTTGCCTGGCTGGCATGGCTCAGCGGTTCTGAGTCAATCCAGGAACCAAGAGGTTACCAGTTCGATTCCTGGTCAGGGCATATGCCCGGGTTGTGGGCTTGATCCCCAATGTGGGGCATGCAGGAGACAGCCGATCAATTATTCTCTCTCATCATTGATGTTTCTATCTCTCTCTCCCTCTCCTTTCCTCTCTGAAATTAATAAAAATTTTATTTAAAAAAATGCATTCCCAGTCAGTTTTATTAGCATCAATGTGCTAGTTCAAACTAAAAGAAAAACGGATTAATGGAATGAAAGGATGAATAAATATAACATCTATCCACATGAAGCTGAACCAGCGGTTCAATGGAGAGGGCCCTGGAAGTCATCTTCAAATAGATAGGTTTTTGTAAGTCAAGTCTTTCCCCTTAACTCCCATATGGCTAACCCTTTATTCCCAGAGAGACTAAGCATCAATGCTCATTAATTTCCCACTTGTGACTCACAAAATTTAAAACTTAAATTTTTCCATGACCACCAAGTAGTTAAATTATTTTAATAACTAATTAGGTGATTAGGAGTTATTTTTTAGCAAAGCTTACTATTGGTTTCTAGTGAATAAGTCAGTTGACATATTCAGAAGAATGCCACCCAATACTACATGTTATTTCATTTAAGCCTCACTGTAGAGGTGAGGAAACTGAGGATCAGAGAAATTAAGTAACTTGCCCAAGTTTGCATATCCAGTAAGTAGCATGGCCAGGATTTGAAGCCTGATATGACTCCAAACTCCATGCTCAGACAACCCTAGAGTACCTGCATTCATAGAATTGTATACTCTCAAGATTGGAAGAACCCTTGCAAGTCACTCAGCCTAACCTCCATCCCCTGCCGATGTCCTCCCAGGCATGCCTTGCTCATCTCACTGGTGGGGAGTTCCTAAGGCAGCCCCTTCCATTGTGAGGCAGCCCTATACTATATAATAAAAGGGTAATATGCAAATTGACCCTAATGGCAGAACGACCAGTTGCTATTATGCGCATTGACCACCAGGGGGCAGACGCTCAATGCAGGAGCTGCCCCCAGTGGTCAATGCACTCCCACAGGGGGAGCTCCACTCAGCCACAAGCCAGGCTGATGGCTGTGAGCACAGTGGCAGTGGCAGGAGCCTTTCCTGCCTCCTCGGCAGCACTAAGCCATCAGTCGAATATCCCCCAAGGGCTCCTGGGTGCCAGAGGGATGTCCGACTGGCAGCTTAGGCCCAATCCCCCGGGGAGTGGGCCTAAGCTGGCAGGTGGACATCCCCCAAGGGGTCTCAGACTGCAAAAGGGTGCAGGCCGGGCTGAGGGACCCTCCCCCCCCCCCCTGCAAGTGCACAAATTTTCATGCACCAGGCCTCTAGTTGCTTCATAAACTTCTTTTCACATAAAAGGTCTTGTATATTCACTCCACTGGCCTGAGGTCCTTCTTTCCTTTCAAAGCACAGAACTTTGGAGGTAGTAGAGTGTCCATCGTTAGAGTAAACATTCCCTGCTCCTCCGCCTATTCTCCACGTACGTTGATCATCAGCCTGACCCTATCCTTATAGGAACCTCTGAGCACAATCATTGCCAGTGACACATCTTGGGTCTGGTAACATTCCAGGATGGACCAGGCCAGTGCAGAATAGTGCTAGGATATCACTGCCCTTTCTGTAAGCACTGTGGGGTGGGGGAGTGAGAAGAGCATTGTTCAAGAGCCTGTGTGGCTCCCTGGTGAGAAAAAAAAAAAAGCATTTCCCAAATTGCATTTTCTAAAGCACCAGCATCCCAGTATAAGTGAATAGATGCTTTTTAAGAATAAAAAAAGATCTGTGAGTATGTAAGTTTGGAATATACTACTTACTATTTGTTCATTAGTAAATATTTTTTAAATATTTTTTTTCAGAGAGGAAGGGAGAGGGAGAGAGAGATAGAAACATCAATGATGAGAGAGAATCATTGATCAGCTGCCTCCTGCATGCTCCCCACTGGGGATTGAGCCCCAAACCCAAGCATATGACCTTACCTGGAATCGAACCATGACCTCCTGGTTCATAGGTCACTGCTCAACCACTAAGCGATGCCAGCTGGGCAGTAAATCTTTATTGACTGCCTACTGAATGGCAGGCACTGTTCTAGTCACTAGATATATATCCATGAACAAAACACACCAAAATCCCTGTCTATGAAATACGATGAATGTGTGAAGACCTTTTAGAAGAAATCAGATACAAAGTCCAAAAGGCCCAAGTAGGCTTTTGCAGCCCAGGAAGCTTTTCCCAGGATTCTGTGACCTAGAGCATCAAAAAGACTCCCTGCCCTTTGCCCCTGGGTAAAAGAGCTGATGGCTGCTTCCAAACCCAGCTGGCTTCTATGTACAATCCAACGTTACTCTTCCATTTCGGCCCTTTTCATTGAACCTGGTATTTTAGGCAAGAGAACACAAAAATGGCATAAAAAGCATCAGCGGCACCTGAGCCTCTGCTCAAACATCCCTCCAGGACCCCCTTCTCCCCCCCCCAACTTCAAGATCCTCACTCATCACCCCTCATTTGGCCCTCATGTTCCAGTGGGCCCCTCTGGGACTTCACGGTTTAGTCAGGGACACTGACCCCAGCTGGAACCTCCGCCCACCCCTACATGTGACTGTCAGCATTTGCTCATCAGCTCTAAATGCCGGCCCTAGCACCCCAGCCTGGCCCTCTCTTCCCCTTGCCCCAGACTCTCAAGGCAGGATGAGTGGCCTTCGTCCTTCTGGGTCAGGAGGGTGAGGATGCATAAGGCCAGTCTCGCTGACCAGCAGGTGAGCCAGGCCAGCAAGGCCCGTGCCCGTGCAAAACGAGCCAGTCACGGGCAAGAGACAAAGCAAAGTCCCGCCTCGGCAGAGGGGCTGAGCTTGGAGGAAAGCCGACACGGAGAGAGATTTGTTATTTGTGGAAGGCTTCTATTTGGTGGTGGGAAAGGAATGGCAAATATGTAACACAATCTTTCTGAAACTATAAATAACATGTAAATACCTTTCGGAATGAAAACCTTATGGAAGGCTTTTAAAATAGGAAAAGGCAAGAGAGAGAAATAACATGTACTTAACCCGCACTGTGTGCTAAGCAGTTTCCATATGTTGTTTGCTTAGTTCTCTCACTTTCCCTCAGGGAAAGGGTTGCCCTTGATTTATTTGTTTGTTAAATATGAAACGCTTGGTGAATTCGCATGCCATCCTTGCGCGGGGGCCATGCTAATCGTCTCTGTATTGTTCCCATTTTAGCGGATGTGCTGCCGAAGCGAGCGCAGGGTGGCACGTTGTAGATGAGGAAAACGAGGCTGAGGAGGCTCACGTGCCAAGGTCTCCTGGTGAACCACGGGTTGGAGATGGACCTATTGGCTCCAGAAACCCTCACCCTTTCTGGAACCAAGCTTGAGTCTGCCTAGAGGCCGGACTGGACTCTATGACCTTTCTAGATTCTTCTCTAGGGCCAGGATTTGTAGAATCATCTTGTTTTCTTCAGGTGCCTTAAGTCTTTCAGGACGATAAAAACCCAGTGTGTGCACTGTGAACAGAAACTCAGCAGAGAAGATGTAGGGGTGGTGGGAGCAATTCTGAAAGTGCGATTGAACCGCGTCAGGTCCTGCCACGGCCGTGCTGTGTGACCTCGGTATGTGTCTTCTCCCTCTGGGCTGCAGTGTTTACCACTGGGAAGTGCAGGGTTGAGTTACCTGCTTGAGAAGGCTGCTCAGCCCTGACAGCCCTGTCTCTCGTGTGCTGGAGTTCCCGTCGGTGGTCTAAGGAGGATGTCCTCCAAGAAAGGGGACTCGGAGCTTCCCCCAGCCTGGCCCAGTTCCTCTGCCCACCCCTACCCCTGCAGCCCAGCCTGCACTGACCTGCACCTCCCGGGTCAGGGCCAGCTCCAGCAGCTGGCCAAAGTGCTGGCCCAGCGTGCTCAGGGTCTCGCTCACACAGGCCTTCATTGACTTCAGGACATGCTCATTCTCAACCTGGAGGCACCTGGGGAAAATACAACATGGGTGGGCCACGGCCAGGGCAGGCAGTCAACCCGGAGTGCTGCAGGGGCCAGATGTGGGCCTGCTGCAGGCCTGCTGGGGCACGAGTGGCCTGGGGAGGACACAGCTATTCCTGGGGAGTCTAAGATGGAACATTCCATAGACAGCTCATCCCCTGGCCTCCTAGTGTTCAGATAAGTGCTGGCCTGAGATGGGAATTAACAGTCCATGGCACCAGGAAGAAAGGCCACCAGAAAGCAGCCAGATCCTACCTCTGGGCTTCTCCCTGGGAGAATCGGCCATCGCCGCAGCCAGGGTCTGCGGAAGGGGGGAGGGGAGCTTCGCTGGTGCTCACTGAAGGGGTATGGCAATGCCCTTAAGGATTGCTGCCTACAATGCACAGAAAGGAGCCTTGAGGATTTTCACCCCAGGCAGGAAAACCTTCTGGGGATCCGGCTCAGATGTATCCCTATGTCCCGAGAATGTTCCACACTGGGAGGCCCAGGGCCTCATGAGGGTCTGGGGGATGCCCAGCTCCAGGTTTTTCTTCCAGGGCATGGGAGCCGGAAGGGGTGGGGGAGATGCCAACACATAACTGGGTGTGTGTACATGTGAGGTTGAGTGTGTGTGTGGGTATGTGTCTGAGTGTAAGGTATGTGTCTGAGTGTAAATGATGGATGTGTGTGTGTGTGTGTGTGTGTGTGATACAGAGCAGAGGGTGTGAGCGTATTTCTGTGATTGCACGAGTGTGTGTTTATATATCTGCGTATGAGCAAGTGAGCGTCTGTGAAATCCTTGTCTGTGGTGCATGTGAATGTAAGGATGTGACTGTCTGCTTTCACCTTGCCTTGACCCTGGGGGCCAGGGGGCCTTCCCAAAGCTGTGGGAAACCTGTTCCTTAAAACCAACCCTCAAGAATCCTTTCTTCCCATGCCCAGGCCTCTCCTCTGCTGTTTACTAGTACATTCTATCCAGGGCCTGAAAATGGGACAGAAAATCCCAAGGGAGTTTTTCAATGCTGCTGATAAAAGTCAGCAGGAGGAGATTCCCAGACCACCACCAGCCCCCCCGCCTCCCACTCTTTCTCTGGGAGAAGATACCAGCCCCTTCCACCGCCCGAGGACAGCGCACACCCTGTCCACATTTACCAGCACCCAGATTTACCTCTCTGTGACTGCTGAGAGCTCTGAGCATTTCTCCATTAGCAGCTTCTCAACCTGTAGAAAAATAGGTCAATTTTGTTCAATTCAATAAACATTGATTGAGGACCAACTGCTGCACTGGGCCCTGTGGGGCTTAAGGATGAAGAATCAAATCATCTGATTTGGGAAACAGGCACATCAATTATAATACAGTGTGATCTGACAAAAGAGATCACCACCAGCTGCTTGGGGAGCTCTAAGAAAAGAAAACTGAGCAATTAGCTATGCCTGGCAATCTGGGATGCTTCGGAGAGGAAGGGGCATTCGAGCTGGACTTCCAAGCATGAGTAGAAGTTTACTGCCTGCAAAGTGAAGCAAGGAGAAGGTAAAGCACTAAGGTGGAAAGTAAATGCCAGTGGAAAGAGAAATAATAGGGTGGGGTTCCAGTGGTTCACCTTGGGCTTGGAGAAGAAGAAGTCATGGGCTTTGGAATTAGAAAGGCTTAGGTTGAATCCTGATTACACCATTTATTGCATAACTTTGGACAAGTTAGTTGGGTTCTCTGAGTTTCTGTTTTCTCATCTATAAAGTGAGGACTATAATACATAGCAGCTAATATTTTTAATCAACTGTTTTACATGTAATAAATTAGTCCTCACAACAGTTCTATAAAGCAAATTACTATTATTATACTCATTAGGATGATAGAACTAGGGAACAGAGAAGTTAAGTAACTTGCCAATGTCACACAGCAGAGCTGACATTTGTACCCAGGCAGCCTGGCCTTAAATGGTACACTTAATCATTGCGCAGCCTCGCATAGTGGCTATATCTGCCTCAGAGCTTGTGCAAGTTAAATGAGACGTGTGTAAAAAGGCTGAGCGCAATTCCTAACACAGAGTTTACACTTAATAAATGTCCTTACTGTCTTCTCTGCTTTCCTGGAAGAGGAAGGAAGTCCCTGGGGCAGTTTGAGTTCAGATACCGCAGAATTTAGACCCATTCTCCTAGGAAGCACGCCCTCCCACACCCACCCAGGGCAACTGACCTGGCCCATCTCCTGCGAAGAGCTCCTGCTGACCGCACTGTACTCGCTGACCATGGAGCGGGCGTGGCAGGTCAGACGCACGCTCATGCTGTGGACGCGCGCCCAGCGGTCCTGGGCCAGCTTCTGCCCGATCCTGCGCAGCTCGGTGCTGATGACCCAGCCCCGCTTGAGCAGCAGCTGCAGGGGGTCTCCAGGGCCTGGGCCGCCCGCCAGGATGAGGTCACCTTGTGCATCCTCCTCCAGGCTGATGGGCTTCGCCTGCAGGACACACATGCACTCGCACTCGGTCATGAGCTTCAGGTCCTCCATCCAGCGCTGGACCGAGTCCACCTGCATCAGGTGCAGCCTGCAGCCGGGGAACAGCGCCGTGGCTATCAACCCTCCACAGTTTCCAAAGGTTTCCATTCCAAGACACCTGATGTTGACTGATCACCTATGTGCTCATCACCGTGTCTTGCATTCACTTACCTTAATTATTTTATTTCTCATTATGTTCACTTCACAGATAAAACAGGCCCAGAAGTTTTGGGGGCAGATGACCAGACAAATAATAAGCAATAAGTTTGCAGAGTAGCACATGATCTTTGCAATAAGAGGAAACTGAAAATAGTGTAATTATCAAATGTTAGTTAAGTAAGCTGTGGTACAACTACTTGGTTATATAGTATGAACTTATTTAAAATAATGCTTCCCCAAAAAAATGTGTGTACTAATAAAGTGGGGAAAGCAGTATGCGAGACTGTAAACACATAACTGTTATGATTGTGTTTTAAAAAACTATGTCTGGAAAAAAATTATTTAAAGAAAAGATTAAAATGCTGATGGTTCTTTATGGGTGGTGGAGCTAAGGCTTTTATTTTTTCAACTTTTCCCTAATTTCTCAATTTTCTATCGTCAGCGTGTATGCTGTTTTTTTAATGGGACAAAATTAACTCTGTTTAGTATAACAGCATGAGAATGTAGATGAGATCCCAAGATCTTTATTGAATATAATTCACTCTGAAATTCACTAAGTCAAATACAGTTCAGTAATAACATCATTAATGAAGCATTGAACATTTGTTGAGTGCCTCACATTTAATATCATATAAATGCCAGGCACTGCGGAAAAATGGAGATGAACATGCCAAGCCTCCACTCTCATGGGGCTTTTGATATGCCTAGAGCATCGAGACAAAGTAGGAAGACATTTTACAATGACAGATTCAACATCATCTGAAGATTAGGCCAGAAGACATGCACAGTTCATCGTTAAGGCTGGGCTCAAGGCCCTTACAACAGTTGTCTAGTGTTTCTGTCCCTAGTCTTGCCTGCCTCAAGCCATTCCCCACCTGCCTCCAGCTTTCACTTATTTTAAAAACTAGAGGCCTGATGCACGAAATTTGTGCAAGAGTACGCCCTCCTTCCCCCAGCTGCCGGTGGCTTCTCTCTGGCACCTGGGACCCGGGCTTCCCTCCGGCCCCATCTTTGTCTGGAAGGACATCCAGAATGATGTCCAGTCTAATTAGCATATTACCCTTTTATTATTATAGATATGTACTTGGTGCCTAATACGTGCCAAGTACTCTTCAAAGCCCTGGGCTGTTACAGCAAACACGTAGATAAAATCACTTCCCTTGGGAAGCTTACATTCAAGTGAGGTAACAGTCAACTTTCTAAGTAACTTCCAAAGTAAATGAGCAATGCATGTAATATGTTGGAGGTGGTACGTGCTTTGAAGGACAAGAGAACAGGGAAGGAGGGTAGAGAGTGCTGGGAGTGGAAGGGGCAGTAGACACAGCAATTTAAAATAGGTGGGTGAGAGAAGGCTCACTGAGAAAGGGGCTTTTGAGCCAAGCTGGAGGGATATGAGGGAGTGGGCTACGTGGATATCTGGGAGCAAACTGTGTTAGGGAGAGAGCACAGCAAGTGCAAAGGCTCTGGGGCACGAGTGTCCTTGAGATGGATGAGGACTAGCAAGGATGCCAGCATCAGCCAGGAAGAGAGAGGGATGGAGGCCATGACGTGAGGTAGGCAGGGGCGGGGATGGCGGGGCGGGGAGGCAGCTTCTGTAAGGCTGTGTGGGACAAGGTGAGAGTCAGGGCGGCACCCAGAGGGCACTGATGAGGCCAGCTAGGTGAGGCAAATGCGCCCAGCAGAACTAAGATTATAAAGGCATGCTCCATTTATCACAGTTAAACCAAACCTTCATATTTACTGTTATTTATAGAGTAGGAGCAGGACTTTCTGAACGGTGTAACTGTTTGACTATTGTTAAAAACAAAACTCACCAATGACCTTTCTTTCTTGCTCTCCCTTTATAAAAATAGCTATTATGCTTTATAAAGATTATATAAATATAGTATATGTATGCATAATGAAAGAGAGAGAACCACCTGAAATCACAGTGCCCTGCTGCCCACCCTATCTTTATGAACTCATATTTAATATATATACTGTAGATATAGATATAGATATAGATATAGATATAGATATAGATATAGATATAGATATATAGATACATATGCCTAATATGCAAAGTGTCCCCTCTGGAGTTTGACTGGGAGACTGAGAGTTTGATCACTCACTATGACGTGCACTGACCACCAGGGGGCGGCACGGAACGAAAGGAAGGCCCCGACCTGCAGCTGGCAGCTGGAGAAGGAAGGTCCCAGCTAATAGCCGAACTGTGCACAAATTTCATGCACTGGGCGTCTCCTAGGGACCCTACCTGTGCACAAATTTCATGCACTGGGCCTCTCGTTTTACATAAGTGGGAATATATATATTCCCTGTGTGCCACCACCACCACCACTGTCCCCTGCATAAGTCAAAATTCATGAGGCTCAGATCAGGGGCATCCAAGATCTGACTCCAGCCTCCCTTCCCTTGCCTCTTCCTTTTCCATCTTCCACCACTTTTTAGCACCCTTGCCAAAAACACACTCCTCACTCCACACACTCAACTTTCCTATTTCCCAACCATACCACTCTCTTTTACAAAGTCTGTGGCCTTGCACCGTTCTCTCCAACAGAACCCCCTTTCCTTCCTCTCTACCTAGCAAGCTCCTACTCACCCTTCAAAACCCAGCTCTAATGTTACTTTCTTTGAAAAGCCTCAGCCAGAGCTCCCCAGCTGCTCCCCAGGACCTCATACCCCTCCGTGCCTCCTCCACTGGAGCACTAACAACATTCGATTGTAATTGGTGTTTGTCTGAAACTCTCCAAGTCCTGTGAGGGACAGTCCCTCGTATCTGGTTTATTGCCAGTGCCGTCATATACCAGCTACTCAGTAAATGTATTCCAGCGAACGAGTGGCAGAGTTCAGGCATGTAATGCTCTCCCCTGCAGAAGACTCCCTATGCCTCCACCACTCAGGCTACCCCAAGACTACAGAATTAGAAAGGGGATACAGAAGATGGAAAAGCATATGATCATCATGTTCTAGAGATAGAGAACTGGGAGACAAATTGATCTTGGGGTTTTAAAAGGCAACAAATGAACTAATCACTCGCTCACTGACATTCACTCCATAAACACTTTGCAGTGGACATCTGTTGTTCTTGGCTTCCCAGCCTCCTTCCTCCTTCTTTCAGTAGCAAAGACACATTACATTCAGCTGCCTCCTGGGGTGGCTTCAGCTTTTCCCTTCTCTTTGGGAAAGATTTCTCCTTCCAAATATAGGAACAGTCCCCCAGGGGTGCTGTCTGTGCTGTGCAAATGTCCCCAGCCATAGTTGCTGGTTGAGCCATGAGTGGGCTCCCAAACCAAGCTGCACTCCTCCAGTTTCCTCTCCCCAAACTGTGAAACTTAAAACCAAGAGTCACAGAGACCGGAGCTGTTGAACGTGGGTCACATTCACAACAGCAGCTGCAGTGAGGGACTGAAGAGTACGTCCAAGAGTCCATTTCTAGTGCTTCTGATAAAAAGAACTCTTTCTACAACACAAGTACACAAATAACTGAGCAGAGGCGAGTGCGTGCCATCCCTTAAAGAAAAGGCTTTCTGGAAATGCAAAGAAGGGAGCTGTCCTGACCTGTTGGAGGACAGGGTAAGGTGCCTGGAGAAGGTGGCTTCAGAGCTGGGGAGGGTTGGGCACATGAAGAAGTGGGAGCATATTCCAGGGGGCAAACAATGGGATGATGGTCAGTTGGGCTGGAAAAGAGGGAGCAATGAGAGGGAAAGCAGGAGAGGTGGCCAGGACCCTGATCTTAGAAGCTTTGAAAGCCAGAGTCAGGTTTATGCTGAAAGTTCTGAGATGCTATTGAAGGAGGACAGGGAAGGGCAACAGAGGCGAAGGCTGGTGGGGCTGAAAGACTGCTCCCTCACAGCACCTAGCACCAAGGAAACCAGACCTGGGGTGGGTTCTCAGTGCGTCTCCCCTTAGAAGAGCTCTGGGGGAGACATTCACACCCCCTTCCTTCTGGCCTGGGTGGGAAAGCACCATGGAAGAGTCAGGGAGTAAGAAAGGGGAACCACCAGAGGCCTGATTAGATCCAAAACCTGCATTTCTGTCACTCCTCCACCCCCAACTCCCTGGAGGCATACCTGGTTCTCGCTCTTTAAGACCTTTACAAAGTAGACAGGAAGTGGGATTTCAGATAATTGATTTATCACTCTGCTGGTCAGAGAAATGGGATGACAAACTATGGATTTCTCAGTATCTGCGTATTTGTCCCTGTGAGGGTCTGTTTGTTGATATGGACTCATTCGGGTGTCTGTCTATATTATCTGTATGCCCAAGTCTGGGTGTCTGGGTGTCTGGGTGTCTGGGTGTGAGTCTATGTATCTCTCTCAACCTGTGCGAGTACTCAGATGAGTGTGTGTTTACAGGCCTTGCATCAGATAAACCCGATTACAAACAGATGGGATGGGGTTTGAGCGTGGGCTGCACTTAGTGACTCAATTCCAGAGAAAAGAGTTCAGAAAGTGGAGGGAAAAGGTAGCTGTGCAGTGAAGAAACCTGGCACCATCTTAGCCAAGTGATCAAACTGAATCTTGCCGCTTGATAAACTTTGTTGATAACACGTACTCCTGATGCAATGTGTTGAGAAGGACACTTCGCTTCTAAGGCATTGTCCCCCAAAACACACAACCTCGGTCTCATCATGGGAAAGACATCAGGGACCCAAACTGAGAGACATTCTACAAGATACATGACCAGGGCTCCTCAAGGTCACCAGGGCCATCAAAAACAAGGGAGGAATGAGGCACTGTCATAGACCACAGGACATGACTGAGTGTAATGGGATATCCAGGATGGAATTCTGAAAGAGAAAAGGACATTCATGGAAAACTAGTGGAATCTGAATAAAGTCTCGCATTTAGTTAATAGTAACGGACCGATGCTGTTTCCGTGGTTGTGACA